ACAGTGGAATCTCCATTGGAAGTCTTATCGCGGCGCGAGAATCTCAGTTGGAATTTCTCAACACTCAATAAAAGAGAAGGAGGAAAAACGCTAATTTCAAATTTAGCGCGCTCTGGGTGAAAAATCAATCTTCCAATCGCTTGGAACTCCCTTGGCAATTGAGAAATCTCAAGAGAAAATCTACAGCCAGCATGAAAATTATCGCGAGGAATTCAGCGATTGACGTTTCTTCCCGAATGCAGAGACTTTTTCTGCGTGGGACGAAAAGATTTTTGTATTTTATCAATGCCAAATTCTTCTTCTCTCGTCGTGAATCTCTAGCGTTTTATTGAGGTATTTGGTTGATGTGCAAGAATCGTGGAAAAGTTTCATGTGAATTTGGGGCAAATGTCCTGGAAAACATCCCTTTAATGTGTCCCCCAAACCGACAGCGGTTGTCGCGTGACGCTGATTCATCCGGTTTCTGGCCTGAAGATCACATCAGTGTCTGTGGGCGAGAAAGCTCACATCTTTGCCGTGTGTGGACGTCAATAGTGGTGGAAAAGCTGGCCGAAGTCCATTGGAAAATGGGCTGTGTGTGGAGCGAGATGGTGTTTTCAATGGGATTTCCAAGCCTATTCATCGCCGAGTCTTCTCACCGAATTCTTCCTGACGCCTGGGACATCCTGACACGGCCTGTTGTTCCGCTGCCTGGGATGTGTGCCTGCGGTGAGATTGTGGTGGTCCTACTTTGCATACAATGGGGATTAAAACATGGGGAGATGTTCTTCTCTCGTGTAAACGTGTCACTAGACAATGTTCGATTTGTGTTTTGTTAAAGGCAGCGCGCTTTTCCGCAAAGGCGGCTCCAGATTCCCTCCTCTTTGTCATCCTCAGCTTCTCTGTGCCACACAGAGCATCAGTTCCTCCTCTTCCGCCCAGACACCGTCGCGGCGCGGGGCAGAGTCGGTGGGAAATATAATGCGTACAAGTGGTCAATTGATTTGGATTCCCTCTCACTCTTTGCCACAATGTTATTTATGAACCTTGCGCGACTCTCAAACCGCGAGACTCTTCGTCTCCTCCGTGGATTCTCTCGTCTTTTTCGCCCGCTTCTCCGCAATTTCTATATATGTTGCTCCTCCGGCACGACACAAACAGTCAATTGCCACACTATCGCGCGGTGCCCGGACATCCCACAGACGTCCGGGCTTCTGCCTGTCCTGTCGCCACTGCCAATTACTGCGGCCGTTCGTGCACAGCTCCGAAATAGAGCAAAGGTGTGTGTTTTTGTGCCGGGGAAATGAAGAAAGAAATTAAGGTGGTTGAGACAAGGAGGCCCCCATTCTTCTGAATTTATGGCAAACGATGGCAAAATTGCATGGGAGACTTTCTGTGCGGGTTCTTTTCGCGCGCTTCGTGGCGAGTCACACAAAACCAACAATAATTTGTACAAATTAGCTTCAGCAACAATGCCGCGCAGGAACACACAGCGAAGCCACGCGAAAGGCGAGTGCGAAAGGAAATAGCTTCGGCGGATTTACTCTGAGCGGGGACATTTTTGCGAAAGATTTTAGGCAATGAGTCTTATCAGCTCGAAATCTCCTCATCTCGCTCTCTCTCTCTCTTGGGCTCTTGGTGCAATTAATTTTGATTCCTTCAGCGCGCGATTTTGGCTGCATCGCGCAGATGAAGTGAATGGTTGGCCGTGTGAGTGAATTTTATCGATGAGGCAATCCTCTTTTCACCCATTTGGACCACGAGAGACCATCTGGTTTGCATGAGAGTCTTCCCGTGCTCACTCTCTTATAATTTCGGGCCGGATAGCATCTTCGTCTCAGGCTTATTCCCTGAACGCGCCGTTTCAGACATTCTGATGATGATTCTGATTGCAGGGCATTTGTAAGAAATGTGCACAGTGAAAAACCACACACACAGTAGTGTGGCGGGTTTATTTCTCTGGAATCAGACAAAATCTCTCTCCTCGCGCTGCCTTTTTTCTCTCTCAATCTCCTTGCCTTTTTTTCCTTTAACCCTCCGCAACTGTGTGTATTTGCTATTGTAAAACTGCAGCCACTCTAGTTCAATATCGAGAGAGAGGGAGAGAGAGTGAGAAGAGACCCTCAAAATGAGAGTGAGACGGACAAATGGTGTGTGAAAGAGAGAGAGAAGGCAGAAAGATATACACGAAAAGATTTGAGCAAAATTATAAATTTAAATTCAGCAACAGCAGAATCATTGATACCACGGCTTTAAAAGTGTTCTTATGGCCTTTTGAGGAGAGAAATCCGATAGAGATCTCTCAAATTTTATATATATAAAATAAATATAGAATTGCAGGAATTTGTCTAATCGCATTTGAAAATCAAGAAAGACGCGGAGAGTATGAAAAGAAACACAAAAACATACATTGAGTGGCTGCGATACCAGGCGACTCCACTGTCGAGGGGTTAATCATTCGCACTGTTTAGCGTCCATGGCGAAGTAATCCTTCAATTTGGCACAATTTAGCATCTCATTCGATGGCAAGTGATTCAAAAATAAAACAGTTGGAGGTCAATAAACACACTCACGAGCTCATGATTATCCCTCAACAGCGGATGACTAATTTGGTGGTTTTTCTTCTTCTTCTGAAAAGAATAAACTGAGTTTTGAATCATCGCCTTTGCGATATCTTCTTCGCTCATGTTCTATAAGATGCGCGATGAAGAAATTGAGGCTCTTTGTGTTGGCTGTGTGTTTATGCCGTAAAGAAATCTCCTCAAAAAGCCGCCCAAAGTATTTTATCTGGTCATGCAATTAAGATTAGTAGGGAAAAATAATTTTTTCAAGATGCTTCATTCTTCTATAAATAAATCCCAAAAGATTTCTCTTCGCGCACGCTGATGAATTACATTATGCAGAAGATATTGAAATTGATTTCAGACACTCACAAATGATGCTTTTTATCGGGCATTTTGAGAGGTTTTTACCCCACAAAAATAATGAACGGCTCTTTTTTAAAGGTTTCCGCTGATTTAGCAAATAAAATTACACCATCGCACGGATAAAATCCAGGAAAAGTCAATTTTATTTCAATCAATAACTCTCTCAAGCGCCCAATTCGGGACTCTTTTTTTTCACGCCCGCGTGTGTGTAAAAAATATTTTATATATATTAAAAAAAAAAAATTTCCGAGAGGCGGAGCGAACAAAGTCACGGGCCCAAAAGTGCAATAAATAATATCTAATAAAAAATACAAGCGGAACACGCTGGCAAAAACGAGTGGTTTTCATGGCGAAAATGTCTGATATAGGGAAATTTTTCCCTCTCACACCACCCAGAGTTTATATATTTTTATGGGAGACTATCTTTCCATCGTTTTACAGCTATGATTGATGTAATTTTAAAACCGCTATTTACCTGTTTTATCAGTACGTTATCTGCGCCGCCCACACCCTCTCTCGCGCGGGGGTTCGCGATGGCGACGTCGCATCGACGTCCTCTCACCCCCGCCGCAGCGTCACGCCGGAGATGCACACTGGCTGCGAAGGGGTGGGGGAAGAGGGGTGGGAGAGAGAGACTTACTTTAGGAGGACTTGAATTTAATGGAACATTCCAGTGCATTGAGAGATTCAAGGGAGATTTTTCCTCCGATTCCTACGATTTGAGAAGGACAAATCGACAATCGTTTGTGACTTGTCCTCTTGACAGTCCTATGTAGTGTCTTATGACTGTCCAAAGAGTCCAAAGAAGCCCAAAATCACATGATTTTTCTTATCTGATGCAAACTTACAACACTAAATCTGCTGTCTTGCCTCAATCATTGACTGACGACAAGTCCAGTGGACAGTCCATGATCCATGTCAGTCACGATGCATTGGACAAACAGAAAACGGGATGAAACACATGTTTTTGAGCGACTGATTCCCGTAAAAAAAACACCCGAAGACAAACCGTGCTCGCTCTTAATTATTGCACCACATTCGGTGGAGTCGGTGAGATTGAAATCGCGCCCGGTTTGGTCGCTGGGGGTTGTTTTTCGGGGGTGGGGAGTGGTGAGAGGGAAAAAGTGCGCTATTTTGGGGGTACAAACTCTATCTGATGGTCGATTCCATCCATTGGCATGATGTATGGCTCATGAAGTTGTAATCAAAAAATGAGGGGTGGAAAATGTGGCCGCTCGAGGGCGGCTCTTTCCACGATAATTTTCACCGTGGCCCGAAACTTCTTGCAAAAGCAGCAACCCTATAATCTAGTGAGAGAGAAGTGCAGAAGGAGGACGCTTAATGTGCCCGGCAAGAGGTATAATATGTATAATGGGTTTTTCACGCGCGCTGCAACCGCGAAATCAGCTGTGAAAAAAAGTGTTTCATTTGCGTTTTTTATTCCTCCGCCACTCGATAGAGTCGCGGGGAAAAAAAAGTGAAATAAATTATTTTGTATATTTTTCCCGCAGAGCAAATTATGACAAAATTGCGTTTTCCAAAAAAAAAATCAGTGGCGCGTTTGATATGGAGAATTTCACTTCATTTGTTGGTCATTTGTTGCTCGTGGTGTTCAACCCTTATCTTTGCACCGCTCTCACTCCATGTTGACTGAATTTCCTCACTGATAGCAGCAACATTTAGGCATATTTAATGTACCGTGTATTCCCCACAAACTCCCTGCAGAGCTTCTGCCATCCACTCTGATTCCATTCCACCGAAATATTCCCAGCATTCTGCTCAGTTCAGCTGGCTTTTGTGCAACTGTTTTGTCCCACTTGCGATGGAAAAGAGATATTTTTAATTTAATTTTTTCCCAATATCTTCTGCACGCCGGCAAAAAAAAGAGCATTTCTGGGAAATTTATTGGATTTTCATACAACAGAATAAAATAACACACGCAGGGAGGAAAATAAGTGGAAATAGTGAAATTTAGCACTATCATAACTTCTGAACTATCACAAAAATCGATTCGGAGCTTAGTTTGGTCGGATCTTAATACTTCTCTGAGGAGCAAATGGTGAAGAAAATCAAGGCATTGATTAGGAAAGTTACTTGAAGTACTTCTTCTTCGGCTTCCAGCCGTTGCCCTCAATTTGTTCAGGACAGTAGCAGCTCCTCTGCTGCGCGTCCAGGTAGGATTTGCAGCCGAGCGTCACGGTGCCGGAGAAGAGCATCTTGGCCGCTGCCTTGCATCCCTTCACGGCCAAATCGCCCACAATTGTGGAGCCTTCGTAGGATTCGCAGTGCTTGAAGAGGCACCGCTTGAACTCAATGTCGCACAGCTCCTTGTCGGCATTGCACGTGTCGTAGCAAATGTCGTGAGCATCGCAGCACTTTTCCATCTCAACGGCCGGCAGATATTCAGTGCTGATCTTCATGCCCAGCGCGCCGCAGCCGTTCGACGCCGGCGTGTAGAACTTATTGCGGTGTCCCGGGACATCTGCAAGTGACACTTGAGAATACCTCCCAACTTCTGCAGCTCAATTCTCACCTCCTGGACAGCGGAAGACGCAGCTGTCCTCCACGGCGGCGTCGAAGACTTCGTGAACACTCCTGAACTTGCGCGCCACCACAATGAGATTCTTGAAAACATCCCCGAAAACCGCCTCGGCGGCAATTATCGCGTCCCGCAGCGTCGATATGACATTCGAACCGTAGCCAGAGTACACGTATGTCACGAATGTGAGCACGTAAATTGCAATTCGCATATAAGAAACATGCATTTTCACGCGTTTTTCCTCCAAATATTCTCGCGATGTGATGCAACACAGTTGAAATTGACACGAAAAATCACTGAGAACATTTGACGTTAGGAAAATCACTTTGCTATTTTTAGCGCAAAGATTCCACTAAAATAGTGCGGTCGAAGATATGTTCGTGAATACATAAGACACTTCGTTAAATCTGCACATTCAAAGTGTGAAAACTGGTGGAAAATTTGAGTTTGAAGGCTAAAAAATCATCAACTGACAATTCTGAACTCCTTAAAAGGCATTTTCTGTCCTTTTTTAGACTCCTTAAACTGTTTTTTTGCACTATTTTCTAACTTATCACATTCCAATCCATGTTTATCCGCGTCAAGGGGTTGAATCTCTTCAAATGCATAGATTTCAGAATACAAGAAGTTATTTTACTGTCTCAGGATTTATTTATAGACAATTTCTGTCTTCATTTTCCACCCAAACTGATTGAAATAAGATTCTTGAGGTTATGTTTGACTTTCAAGCTGTTTCTTGCCTCTAAAATTTAACCAATCTGAAGCCTTTTTGAACACAAATGTTCAATTCTGACAAGAAAAAGACAAATATTTCCAACTCAAACAAAAATTTGATCATTTAAAGGTTTTTTAAAGGCCTTGAAATCAATCACATAACCTAGAAAAGCAATGAAATTGATTTTCTTCCGACCATAATATCTGCCCCTTGGCTTCACTTTCTTTTTCCCTTGTTTAAAGTTGATGGAAATAACACAAGTTTCACCCCTAATTAGAATTTGATGGCTGAAAGCTTGGCTGTGGCCGATCATTGTCTGGATTGTGAATCGTCATTTATCAAATTCACCTGCGCCCGTTGATCTCTGAGTGTGTCAGTGAGATACAGAGTCGCCGTGCTTGTTAGATGGCCGCGCGATTTTCCACAATTCCCAAGTAATAATTGAACGCAGTGAAATCATCAAAATGGAGCCGCCAACGAAATGACACTTCAATGGGCACCCGTTGACATTTGGGATGAGATTTTATGTGCCTGGGATCTCAAGTGTCCCTTCACCTCTGCGGTGTGTCTCTCAAGGTGTCTTCCTCTCTGCCTTTTCTTGTGATTCTCCCTCTTGACACTCAACTCCTCGCGCATCGCGCTGTGTGACATGGACAATTAGCATGCGGACACATGGAAACATTTCCAATCTGTCGGCTTCCTCCGCGCTTCTCTGGCGGTATCGCGTCTCGCCAGAGACGCACAGAATCAATTTAATTGCTCCGGCGTAGAGGAGATGTTTTTATTGGGAATCCTCCTTGGCCAATTTCACTCTTGGCGGACTCTTTATCGCGGTGGCAGAATGCGAGAAAGCATAATATAATATGCAAATTGGGACACACTCGACGGACTCCCTGAATGTTGTCGGTGTGCGCGAGAGGACAGGAAGCGGAGTTTCATTGGGAGGCGGAGATTTCTTGCCACAGAAGAGGCAAATTGCAGTGCGAAGTGGCGAAAAAGTGCCTTCAGGGTGTCAATTGGCAGGTGTTAAATGATGTCCTAAAAGCTGTAATTTTCTTTTTGGCATCTCGATGAAAAATCTCCGTTTTTCATACACACACACGAGGTCGCATTTATTTTTCTCCCACGGAATTTCTCAACATGCTCGCGGAGATGCAATTCTGCTGGTGGAATTGATTAGAGATGGGCGGAATTTCTTGCATTTTGCCATTCAACACGTGCCTCTCAAAATTGTAATTACACAGGGAGAAAAACGGTATGAAAAATCACTTCTTTTCTCCACTTATGGGCCAAATGAAATTGGCATTATGTGGCCAGTGAGACTATCAGCAAGAATGGCTTCACATTGGGCATTAGCTGGACAATTTGTAGTGTGGCTTTTATGGGCGAAAAATTCGCAATATTTTATTCTTACAGCTTAACGAGACACACGATTTTCGCGCTCTTTTTCGGGCGTATTTTTAACCATTCGAGAGACTAATGGTCTCAATTTGAAGTGTTCTCCGTGCGGTGTATTAATCCCTATCTCTATCTGGAAAGTGCACAAATTACTCGTGTGTGTATTTCACAGAAAACTTTTCCACCACTGGTGGAATACGTAGTGAAATTAGTTTTAAAATAATCTCCCATCGCTTCACTCTCACTCTCTGGAAAATCCCCGCAGCTTCGGCATGAATTGGCGCCGACATTGTCCCCTTTTTTTCCAGTCCAGCTTCCTGGGAAATCCATTACTTTCCGCGCCGTCTATATGTGTGAGACTGCATAGATAATCACTGAATGGCATTAAGTGTTGGCTGGTGGTGGAGAGAAGATGTATTGCGTGATTTCCGCACGCCAAATGGTTTTGGTATATTTACGAGATTACTGTGACTAATTGGCTGAAAATCTTTGCAATGTATGCGAAAATTCTCCCATATATTTCCCATAACATTGCGCGCTCAGCAAGCCTTCAATCAAAACCACGCCAATCTCGTGCATTTTCAATTATCCGCCAACTGTCGCGGGCGGAAGGTGTCTATCTCCACCCTCTTGAGAAAGCACGTCTAAATAGCTGTCTGTCGGGCGAGATGAGAGACGTTGATGGGTTAATTTGCTGGCTGGAGGTGTGAATGGTCTGAAAATGTCACTTCTGGGTGGGTTTCCTCCTCCTCAGCCTTCGAAACAGCACCATCGACTGAAATAATAGCACAATATTGGGAGAATGATGAGACAAGGAGTGATTCCGCCTTGAGAAATTGTACTGTGAAGAGACACACACGGCGGGAAAAAAGAAGACAAGATGATGACTCAATTACCATAATCCCATAAATTCCCAATCGGTGTCTAGCGATCTTCGAAATTATTTTCAAGTCATACATAAATTTTTCAGATTAAATTTTTCGCTCTCCTTTTTTCTTCGCGCGTCCCACCGCTAATTTCAGGGGTGGTCTCGCGCCGCCACAGAAGACACAGTTATTGCGAGTGAGTTTGAGCTCTTCTGCTCTCTGCACCGTGGAATATTTCGCAAATTTACACCTCTACGCAAGTTTACAGTCAATTTTCTGTGTTGTAAAAAAATAGACACGCAAAGTTAGGAATTCTGAAAATATTTCTTTTGGTGTTCATTTATAATTTCTTGAAGATTAAGTAAGGAGAAAATCGACAGAAGTTCAGATTTCAATCATTTATTTGATTATACCAAAGAAATATTTCAATATTTGATGATTGTATGAATTTTTGGATCATTTTTTGACAATTACATTATTTTTCCCACATATTGCCGCAAGAGGACAGCAGAAATATTTGACTATGGGATTATTAAGATTCTTTAAAATCCACTAGTGATTTTCCCCTTGCAGGGTTCACAAGAAAATGCATAATTTGATAGCGTTTTCTTATTGTATAATTGCGCTTACAATTTCTTAAGTCTGATGATCTTTTGGGTGTCCTTTGTGCATGGAATCCTTTGAGAAAAGCACAGAGGAATCCTGATCACCGTGAGCCTTGCGGCGTTCATCACGCGGCCTCACTCTTTCGGCGGTCTCTTTTCCCACTTTTGCAGCAACTTGTGCGACTCGGCGTTATCTCGCCGTTGAATTTTTCCGCCGCGACGTCGGTGGGCGGCGCGGGTGGCGAAAGTGTGAAATGGCAGAGCGGCGCTTGTGCGGGGGTGTGTATGAATAAAATTTAATCTCTCGCCGATCGGATTTTAAATAATTTTTCCCACCAAGCGAAAGGGTGGAAGGATCGAGAGGGATGCAACCGCAGGGCGGGAAGATACTCGATGGTGAGGCACAGATGAAGCTCTTGAGGAAATGGTTTGGTTTCAGAGCCGTGCATGTGGAGTGCAGAGGGGATTTGCCGAGCGGAGCCGGAGATCAATTTTAGATTTTGGGGCGGATTTATCGCTTCCGTTCGGGGAAAAAGGGTTGCCTCACTGTCTTTCTCGCCGGCTCCGTGAAGTATCTCTCAATGCAACTTCTCTTTTATGTCCAATTTCAATATAGTTTATGCATATACATGCATTTTTATGTGATTTATGTGGCTCTGCAGCTCTCTCGGTATCATCTCGCCTCCCCCCCCCCCCATTTTAATCGCCATTCTTGCACACAAAAGCCCCACTATATATACAGAATCCATTCGTGCCCTCAGACTGATAATGCGGAGAGTCAATCACTTTTCGGTGCGCTCGCATGGCGTGCCTCAGAGATACGGAATCGTTCTAACCAACTGATATCAATCATCTTTCTCTGGGGAATTTTAATTCAATCCATATTCAATTTTTCATCCAGTAGTAAATCTCACCTCGTTGCACTTTACTCGCTTTACTCTCACACTCCATCCTGAGCTGGTAAATACAGTGGCTGGTCTTGCGATTTGAGCCAAATTTATGACTGGCGATTCGCTGTATTTCTCCGCTGCGCGTTGTCCTGCAAAATCCCTGCATATTTTGAAATATATACGGAGTTATTATGGCTCTTAAGGAGCTTCGGGAGGGATAAACCCTACAAAAAAGAGGGAAATACAAAATTGTATGAAAAACTTGGGACAATCCTTTGGAAATACCACGGATTTTTATGTGACCCGTCCCAAGAATCTAGAAACAATCGAGAAACAGCATGAAAAGTAGAGAAAATCACGCTGCCAGCAATTGCTGCACCAGCAACTGTTGGGCGATTTGACTTCTTGAGGCCTTTCGCGAATCGGGTATCTCACGCACTTGTGCTCCAATGCAGATTCTCGCGTTGATGAAAAAGCTGGAGGAGTTGGACTGAGATGGAGAAAAGACCTGCATCGTCGTGTTTTCAAGGCAACAACAGCCACAGAGAGAGAACAAATTTTTCGCAACATTTTAATTGGCCGATTTTATCGTCGATGGACTTCCATTATAATTTTTTCCGTGATTCCACCTTATCTCGGGCCCCGAGAGTGCATTGTGTGTGTGTTTGAGGGAGGTTGGAGTGAGTGAAAGAGAGGGATTTTCAGCGAATGAGGAGTTTTTATTCATTTGCGGATATAATGTATCCTGGGCAAACCAATAATCTCC